TCCCTAATTCAACTGAAAGTGCCATGCTCTCAGTCAAGACTTTAATGCATATAGCTGTTTCTAAGATGATCTCATAAAGGGCTGTTGATAATCCGAACAGAAGTGCTCTCTTTTCAGTTACAACAGGATACTCTAATTAAACATACTCAATATATTCTGCTGTAATTATAGAAAACTAAATCCTCTATACTTAAGTGACATACGGCTGCTCTGCAGTTGGTTGTTAAAGAGAACGAGAATCCTTTTCTGCCCAAGCCATGTTATTTTGAAACACAGGGACAGGGCTATTTGTAGAGAGAAGGTAGCTCTCCCAGCAGCATTTCACTGCTCTGTGCTGTTTTCTGTTAAAACAACAGATATTTTAGAACATAACTGTAATCAAGCTACCACCCTATAACAATCTTTTGTCTTTTACATGTAGTCTTTCACATGGAAAGGATGTGTTTTGATCCATAGTGCGTACTCCCTGACCATCTCGCAGAGCATTACTTCAAATGGTACACTGCAGTCACCACCACCAGTTGCCCTTCTCCTTCAGCTTCCAGTATTGGGATATTCCTGGGTAAAGGAAGCCATATGATGGAACAGTATGATTGATATAGAACACACACATTTTAAATGGATTAAAAAGCTAAATGCCATAATATTTATATATATATATATGTATATATATATAACGTTTCATTTTGACATGCTAGAACAAGCTTGGTCACCATATGAATAAAACCAGGTTTCTGTCAGGGTCCAGATGACTACTCAGCTTGTTGCCATCATATTTTGGAGTGGAACACCCATAGTTTTGTATTTCACACAGGGATTGCCTGCAGCTGACAAAGAGAGCGAGCCAAATTCTGCTGTCAGTTAACTGAGGTAAACAGAGTGGCTTTCCTGGAACCAGAACAGGCATGCTGGGCTGTCATCAGCCAACTGAGCACATGGTTGGACCACTGTCCCTCTTACTGAAACCAGTGTAGTCCAGTGACTTGAGTAGAGTTTCTCCTACTTTCATTAGTACAACAGAGCAGAATCTGGTTTTCTGCCAAATTTTCTTCTTTCTTTTATGAGTGTACAGGTTTTTTGGCTACATTATAAAAATCCATGAGAAAAAGTTTTGTTCATTTGAATAAAGAAAGATTTTAAATAAAATTAACTAGACTGAAGGGGGAAGGAGGCTTTGTGATAGGATTTTGAATTTTTTTTTTTTTTTTTCAGGAAACAGTTAATTGGGAATAAAAAAACCTGACTATATTCTGTAAATAAGTTTATCTTGATGAGTTTAGACCCCTACTTAAGCAGCAAAAGTTTCTAACTGGCTGTTTTATAATTCTCTTGAATTTTCATTTATATCAAAACTGTCTCCCTGGGCTTCTTTTATGCCAAGCAGGAGAATGGGTCTCCTGTCGTACAGCAAGTATCAGTTCAGATAGCCTAAGGTTATTCCCACCACAATGTTCTTTGACCACTCTTCAGACAATTTAAGATAATAGATTATTAAAAACATAGTCTATGTTGTCACTCTTAATGCTCCTACCGGTAGCAGAGTACTTGCCCTTCCATATAGCTAAAATTCTGATAACTTTCAAGCACTTAAAAATCACAAGTAAAAATGCTACCATTACAAGTGGATTAAAAACTTTACTATCCTACCTAAAAGAGCAAAAAGAAATTTAAAAAAAAAATATTACAGTTTAGAATAGACAAGGTACCAAAGCCCAGGGTAGGAAAGAAGGGGAAATTTTTTTTATTTTTTTTTTAATCAAATAGACAGTTAAAAGCATTTTAATGTATAAGACATGGATTCTAATAGATTTTTTTTTTCTAGTGAGTTAGAAAACATTTTAAGAAGACAGGCGGAGTAAACGGGGAGAAAGGCAGAAAGAAGAGCAGGAGAGGTAAGATAAATTACGCAATGGGTAAAGAATAAGAATTGAGCGTTGTAGCAACACAAAAAAAAATATGGAAGGAAAAGTGATGAAAAAATTTAGAGGCAAACAAATGAAACAAGTTGAGGGTATGCGGCAACAAGCTGGAAATCAGCTCCTAAATCTACAATAAGAAAGAAACTGCATATTATGCAGTTAACCTACTTAAACAAGATTAAGATAATCCTGAAGAAATGGTCATATGCTCACGCAATCAGCCTGTGCTAACTACACTGTTAGCATTAAAATTATCTAGTTGAGGTCTGTTTCAGCTGAAATTACATCACTGACTGCACTACATCCATCTACGTAACAACATAGAAAAGTTCTTTCACCCTTACTTTCAGTACACAAAAAAAGAAAGAAAAGAAAAAAAGAGGGAAAAAAGCTTCTTAAAATCTGTTATCCTGTAATTACTCCTTTTTCCCAGCATGCCTTTCTGGAATGGGACCTTTTACATCCAATAGTTAATTCTTCAAGAATTTACATCCAATAGTTAATTCTTCAAGAAGCCATTTTGGCTACGTTATCTTTCCTTCAATTGTAAGCACACTTCATTTTATGATCTCATTGATTTTGCTTTTTCTGTTACTGCACAAGTGGGTTCTCACTGAGAACTGGTCCTGTGAGAAAAATGTGGTGGACTTACAGGGCTTGTAAAATTACTGTCTTGGATAATATGAGCTTTGAGCAAGATCAGGACTATAGAATTTTGTAGACACTGTGGGCTGTTTTATAGACTGAGTTTACCTTGGGACCTTGGTGTTATGGGGTCTACTACTCTTCTAAATCTGTATGCTGTTAGCTAGTTGTAAATAGTTTTATTGAGGAAATGGTTGCAGTGTGCTTCCTAAATGTTTATTTTATTCCTAGATGCTTATTTTTTGCTTGTGTTTATAAAATGACGAAGGTGTGTCTTCAGTTTGGCTCTGTGCTTGTATGTGGCTGAAGCCCGTGATAAGAAACTTGAAATCTTTTAATTTATTTTTCTTAAATATGTTCAACAGCAGTTTCATAGTTTGTGCTTAGCTTGGTCTACAATGATACAGAGACCACGTAAATCTCACCATGTAAATTACTGGAGGAGCCACAATCATCAGGAGTATTTTCTAGTATATCCGGGCATATGCAGAGGGTTGTTTTCAAAATAGTTGTCTTCTAGAGATTGGGACGTTGGGGTGGCAGTGGCTTTGTAGCATCTGCTGTGAATTCACCAGCAGCAGCACATGCAGAGTAGGCCAAACTGTTTTCAGATCACTCAGCAGGGACTTAATGAAAAAGGTAGCTTTTTTTCTTTTCCTTCTTGAAAACCTCCCTATGATTAACTCAAACTTGAATAAGGAAGTGTGTGTATGAAATATCAGAGCTGTTGTTCCTCTTCATTATGTAGCAGCTTTCAGTATTTTCCTCATGTTACATAAAGCCAAGTGATCTCCTTAACTTTTTTTCTGATAGCCTGCCCTCAAAAAAAAGTCTACAAAAATAAAAATGAAGCTTTATTACATTTTTAAGTTCCTTCATTCTTAATAGTATTTTTCTTATCTTACACTATTTTACTGTTGCAATGTTCTGCTCCTTCAGTCCAGGGTACTTCTCAGTCAAATATCATGATATTGGGGAGGAGGGAAGTATGTCCTAAATATTGGAAAATGCATACTCTCTTTTAATCTTTTTTTTTTTTTTTTTAATAAGGTTTAAATATAATGATAAAAGTTTAGTAGTTAAAATAAATGTAGATATGAGCACTGCAAATATTGCCAAAACTAAGCCAGCCTTTCTGCTGTCACTTTAAAATTAGTGCAAGATTCTGCGAGCATTTGCTTCAAAGCTCCTTTTAATTTCTTTTTTACTTTCTTTTGTATCTTCTTTATATAACTATGGTTTAAAAAAACAAACAAAAAAGCTGTGGTTCTGACTTAAAATGTATAAAGATTTGCTTCTTTTTGCATGTATATGTTTAGTGAAAATAAAATGCATTTCTTTATTATATCTTATAATGTCTTTTTTTTTTTTTTGCAATATTAATAAAACTGTAAGCAAAATACAATATGGCTTCCAAGCACAATGCTTCCCAGTTGAAGTGAAGAATATCTGTTGATTATTTCCAATGAGGACTAGTAGCAAGATGCTGTGGAGCTTTGGTTTTGCTATTATATGGAATGTATCAATTATTAATTTAACAGTTTGAATGTACCTAGATGTTATAACATTAACTGCTGTTTATAAGCAAATCTGAAAAAATTACTATATGCTGGGTAAGGTGTTGCCCTGATATCCACTCTTAGATTGACTTTCCTATTCAACTACAGACTCAACAGTTGTGCAAAAGGTCATTCAAATTCTGTTATTCCTCTAGGAATGGGAAATATGGTGGTAGTAAAACTGATTTTTTAAAACAGGAGGGCTATAGTGATAAATATATTAACAGCATTCATGAGACAGCATTCATTACTTAGCACGAAACGTAAGGAATAATATTTACAAGCAATTCTGACATAATATTTTTGATACTAGAAAGGCTTCCTGTCTTTCGCATGTACTAAAATCTATCCTTAATCTTTACATTTTTTCCCCAAGCTTCCACCAACACAGATTTTTTTATGAAAGCAACAGATGCCAAGTTTATGTAAAGGCTAATTCATCTTCTTCCAGATGACCCACTTATGGTATGTACCAGTGTACCACAGTGATCCCATAATCAGCTGGCCAATGCACATGTTCATTCCATTGTAGATCATTCTACAAAGTCTGCAGACTTACTGAGAGAACCACAGCTGTCTGACAACACTGCCTACAGCACTGCTCAAGCGAAGTATTATGGGTAACAGTCTAATGGCTTTCCTTAAATATCTTACGAAATAAACATCTCTGTAGTAAATCATATCTCAAATTTAAACAAACAGTATGAATAAATGAAGTCTTTTCATTTTCTGAAATAAGAACAATGTATTTGATAAATAGATATGATCTGGTTGCATAATCTGTTTCAGGTTAGGATCACTTAAATATTGTTTTGCTTCCTCTACTTCAGCTGCCTCTTCCTATATGATGCTTATTATCAGAAAAGCAAGCAATTACCGAGACAATCTCGTCCTCTGCCGGTACAGTTGCTGCTGATAGTGCTGCTGCCAGTGCTGCTGCCCTGGCTGCCTTCCTCATTGCTTTCTGAGTCTGAAGATTGGTAAAGTAGTTGACAGCTGCAAACTCAATAAGTGCAGAGAAGACAAAGGCAAAGCACACAGCTATGAACCAATCCATGGCGGTAGCATAGGACACCTTGGGCAAAGAATGGCGTGCACTGATGCTTAAAGTGGTCATTGTTAGAACTGTAGTGATTCCTTGAAAATAAGAGAAAAAAAATGGGGGCATTAGATTTTTGCTTCAACTCTGCTACTCTTAAATTCATATATATTAAAAAAAACCTCAACTCCTCTTTGATTTTAGATGTCATCCTATGTACCAGCTAACCAACAAGACTGATTCTTAAGTAATTAATGTATACTGGCTTCAGCATCTTAAAAGCCCTAAACAAGCCTCCCTAATACACTGAACAGACTGAAAGTTAAGTAACTACATACTACATGGCGCAGCTTATTAGAATTGTGATAGATGTGGGTATAACAAAAGTCAGGCTCGAACTATGAAAGACATTGTACTTTACTAAGTGGAATGTTTGGCAGAAATCTACATCAACATACTGTCATTTCCCAACAGTGATCCTCTCTTTCTCCTATTGTTGCACAAAACAGATCATGGCTTACAGAACCCTCACTGAATCAATCGAATTCTGCATTAAAATCAGTGGCAGGCTATGATTCAAATATTTCCAGTAATTAGAGTTTGGACCCCTGTGTAGTTGTCTTTAATCACTAGATACATTCTTTAAGATTCACTAACAATATCTTGATTTGAAAGCACCCATAGTTACATATATGGAAGGACAGAAAAGCTACTTCTCTAGAGCTGTTTTCACACAACAAATTTGGTCATGTAGCTCATGGGTCTCATAAGTGTTCTTCATGTGAGCTCATTAATTGATTCTTTCTGTTTTGGAGTGTACCGCATTAATAATGTAGGAAATACACTTCCCACTGCTGCCTGATACAAGCAAAAAGTACAGGAGCAAACTCATTAACACATAAGCCTCTGTGACTCATGTTTACTTATAATTATGCCTGCTAGAATGTGAAAACTGCAGGTATTTAAAGACAGTAAAGTGGAGAATACCCTCTTCTGGTCTTTTTTTGCAGTTCAGAAAGGGTAGGTGGGAAAGTAAAAGATGCTATAATGTCATGTTGTGATGATGAATCAATATGCTGTGAATGCTGCTCCGTGGAAAGGATGCAATGTCATTGCATACTGCAGCATCAAGACTGGGTGACTTCATTATTTCCTTTTTTTTTTTTTTTTTGCAACTCTTTCACATGATGTAGCTTGCCAGCTGTCTGAGGTTAACTACATCCCAATGTCATTACTCAACATGTTTTAATGAAATGCAAATAGGAGATGGTATAAAAATATGTAGGATCTCTACTTCTCCCAAATCTGCCAGACTCATTTTATAATATGAATACAAGAATGCTGAGATATATTTCAATTTCAAAGGTCCGGAATGAAATTTCCAATACAATGTGTGATTAGATTAGAATCTGTCCATGTGCTAGTTAGTAATAAAAATGATATATTCTGTGTCCGAATAAAAACTTACTGCAGCAGGAATTTAAACTTAGGAATAGGACTCCTGTTCTATTACAGATACAGATAAGACTTCTCTCACTGTGGAGTGAATATTGATGAAATGCTCTGCACTGTGGAAAACTACTTTATCAAACTGAATGCCAAATTATGGTTGGTAAACTGTGTAACTGATGATTCTTAATGCTTGTCTTTCCACTTTGAACACTTCTTGGTAAATTCTGAAGAATCTGTTACATAATACGAATACTGAAATATTTTATATTTTCTTATTAAAAATGAAACCACAAAAAACCCCAAACACCTTTCCCTATCTGAGACTTTATTATAAATAAACTTTAATGACTAGATAGTAATTTAAAATTCCCAGGGTGACCTGCTAGGAACATAGAAGCTGACTACTACCTTTCTACAAAATAACAGATGAACCTTTTGCTAGGAATAAAAAAGATTAAATAAAGGCACATAAAAATGTGAAATAATAGCCACTGCTATATGGGTTCAGAACATACTTAAAATTAGGCCTCCAATTACTATGTTTCTTATTCTAAGTACTTTCTGATAATGTCATGCTTCTAAAACTTCACACATATGTACACATATATGTATATGTATAGCGACACACATAGCTCCACATAAAATAAGGAATTTCATACTAGCAATCTGCTGTTCTTTCCAATTACACAGTTATAGAGAATGCAAGAGTACCTGTTCAAATATTTCTATCTCCCATTTTTCACTTGCAGGTCTGTAAAAAGTAGGTGCTTATGGCCATTAATTTATCTTTGCAAAATGTTCAGAGTATTTATCATAATACTACCTACAAAGGTTAATTGGCATCCATTATGGAGGTAAACAGAGGTGATAAATGAATTTGTTCTGAGAAACTGATTTAGACATACTATTGTTATTCTTCTACTATTAATTTATCTTCTCTCATATTTATAGTTTAGGAACTGAGAACTAAAACTGAAAATTTATAATTCAAGTCTTTGCAATATGATTCAGAAAGGAGATGCAAGGTCCTGCACCTGGGTCGGGGCA